GCCGTTGTTGAGTTATTCAATTTACACCCACCCCTCTTTCATTCTGGCGCCGACATTAGTAAGTTTCATTTCGAAAGAATTTCTGATGAAATATTTTTATGAAAAAAAAATAAACGAACAAACATGATCAATTAACTCATACTCACATATATTGTTTTCTTCTTGGTTGATCATTTTAATAAAAGTATTTTCGATGAATTCATTCAAATAAAAAGAAAACATATTAAATCTAACTCAAAATCATTTGATTTAGTTACAAGATTCGATTACTGAATTTATATTTGTTTATTAATATTAAAAAAAACATGTCATGAGAATCATCACATGATGATGGCGTTGCCTAATATGTTTTTTTTTCTTTGAAAAATTCCAATAAAAACGCTTAATAGACAATTGTTTATTTTTATAAACATTTTAGAACAAGTATTAATGCTTGATTTCCATCAAAACAATTCATTTTATTAGAATTATTATTTAAATCAATCATGAATAATTGAGAAGTTTTAAAAAGAATACTGAAAATAAAAATGAATAAATCTTATGTTAACCTTATCTCAACAAAAAAAAATCAATAATTTAAAAAACAATATGACAATACTATTTGAGCAAAATGAACACAGTTTAGAAGTCAATCATCAAATACTAATTGAAGAAAATTAGTAAAAGTAAAGATAATGAACAAAAAAACTGATATTATTTTCTATCAACTTAGTCTTATTATACTCAGTATCGTAACTCAATTTTTCATCAATCTATTAGAGAAATAGCACGTGAAATATGTTGCCAAAAAATGATTTTTCTTTCTGTAACCTTGTGAGAATGATTAATGAATCAAATAATATCATATCCATATCAACCCAGGTCGAACGTTACGAAGTTCGTAAACGATCGTATACGACCGTATACGGGAAAAATACGGTCGTTTACGACCGTGTTTTGCCGTAATACATGTGATCATATTACGATCGTATACGGCCTCCGTTTACTGTCTCCGTAAACGACCGTTTTTTCGTCCGTATACGACACGGAGATATACGATCGTAATACGATCACATGTAAATCGTCGTATTTCTCCGTATACGGTCGTTTACGACCGTGCTTGTTCGACCTGGGAAAGCTCTATTAATTCTATTATGAGTTTTATATTTCAGTGTAGGAAAGCTTTTTTCTTTTCGAAAACAGGAATATTTCAAAGAATTTTATTGAAGGTTTTTGGTGTCAACCAATCTAAATCTATAATTATTTTCTCGAAATTTCCGAGTTGGAATTTTTTTCAAGAGTTACTTTAAGATTGAGATTGTTGAACTTGAAAAACTTCTTATTAAAGCCTAATAAGATGCTCCTATTTTCATAAAATTATTTTTCAATTAACAAAATCTGACACTAATGAATTGTTCGTCACCTATTCTTAAGTAACTCAAAAAAACTAATCTATATATTATGTACAGCGTCAAAACATGCTTTCAATTTGAAAATGAA